CTCTCCGATTTGATTTTCTTAATTGGGTCTTGTTTGATCTGAATTGGCCTTTTAAAAATTCATACTTTGTGTGCAGATATGGCTACCGAGGAAGGTGTTCCTTCGGCACATGACTACGCTTCTGCTTTTGTGGAACAGTACTATCATATTATTGGACAATTACCTCAAGAAGCTTTTAGGTTTTATGTTGATGCTAGTGTTGTTAGCAGACCACGACCTGATGGTACTATGATGTCTTTTACATCTGTTGAGGTAATTTGAACTTGTGTTTTCGAACAAAAAGTCATCATCTCTTTCCATGCTCCTATTGTTTTGAATCGATCTTATGCTAGTGAAATTGTCCTTTATTAGGGTCAAGGTTGCTTTAATTTATTCTACTTGCATTAGCTTTCTGTTTTCGTTTGACATATATTGTTGTTGTTAGCTTTATGTTGCTCTTACTCTGTTGTTTATTGGTTTTCTCATGATTCAATGCTGTGTTGACATTTTCTACAATTTAAAACCGGAGTTAAGACTTCACATCGTACTCTTGTCTAGTACATATAGAGTTCACATTGTTTATCATCTTGGTTACAGGCTATAAACAAGGAGTTCCTTTCCTATGACTACGAGAATACGACATATGAGGTGCTGAGTGTCGATTCTCATAATTCCGTGGAAAACGGGATATTTATCATGGTTATTGGTTTCTTGACTGGAAAAGACAACCTTGAGAGGACCTTCTCACAAATGTTCTATCTGGCACGTCAAGACAGTGCCTACGTTGTCCTCAATGACATCTTTCGTTTTGTTGATAATAAGGCTTCCGCTCCAATTACTCTGCCAGTTGCTGAATCTGGTAAGTTGTTTAAGTCTTGTATTACTTGTCGTTTGATTAAAAAGTTGGTGGTTTTACGAAAGAGAGAGAATGTAGATATCCTGAATCTCTGTTGAGAACTCTTTTGTGGACTTATTATTGTAGTGCCAGCAACTGAGATGGCGAAGCCAGCTGGAGGTCTAAACAAGACCGAGCCGATTCACAAAACCGATGTTAATGCTGTGGAGAAGACCGTTAATGCTGCTGAAGCTAAGAACGTTGTTGCTGGACCATTGGATAATGGAAATATCAAGCAATCTGATGAAAAAGTTGTTACTGCTGAAAACCCAAAAGAGCCAGTTGTTGATGGAGCCAAGAGATCTTTTGCTGATATAGTGAGTTTTGTTCTTGCAAATTTTGCTTTATAGGGGACATCTATGCATACTTATAATTAATGTGATACAGGTTCAATCGATGGCAAAAAGCGCTGCTCCGTTTCAAGTTAAACCCCAAGTTAAATCACCGGCTGTTAATAAACCTAAGCCCCGTGCTGCTGCAGCACTTAGAGCACCTAACTCTGAAAAGAAAAATGTTCACAAGATAATCGATGAACCAGGTTAGAAGAAGGCAGAGATGGCCCTTGTTGTTGGATTTAAATAAATTTTTTTCCTTTTCTTGTCTATTTTGGATATCAGATTGGTTTTGTTTTGGTTTTAGGCACTTCAATATTCGTGTCAAATCTGCCAATGACTGCAATGCCGCCTCAACTCCATGAACTGTTCAAGGATTTCGGTCCTATCAAAGAAAACGGGATTCAAATCCGAAGCTCCAGGGTTTGTTCTTTGTCCACTCTTGTCTTTTCACTGTTTATATTCATCACTTCTAAACAAAATTTTCTTTCTTATGTGTCCAGGCTAGTGGAATTTGCTTTGGTTTTGTTGCCTTTGAATCTACGACCTCGGTCCAGAGCGTGCTTCAGGTAATTACATATACAAATACAAGTTTCTCGTTTCCCTTAAAAAAAAATAATCTATGAATTTCTGATTGCAACTCTTGTCAATTCCAGGCAGCCAAGAAGAATCCTTTCATGCTTGCAGACCGTAAGCTTCGTGTAAAGGAAAAGGAAGGCAAGCTTCGCTTTCTTTTAACCCCTAATAAGAGTTCTCGGTTTCTCACGTGCAAGGCTAAATCTTTTTCTCTCCAATACCCCTTTTTAAAAATTATTTTGCAGTTGACTATGATGGAAGCAAACCTTCTGGAAAAACCGGAGGTGGAAGCAAGACCCAGAATGGCCCTACAGATGGAAGCAAGACCCAGAATGGCCCTGCAGATGGAAGCAAGACCGAGAATGGCTCTGAAGATGGAAGCAAGGCCGAGAATGTCTCTGAAGATGGAAGTAAGGCCGAGAATGGCTCTGCAGATGGCGGAGATGGTTTTGTGCTTGCAGAGCGTAAGCGTCGTAACAGAAACCGTAAGAACGGTGGCAGAACCGAAAGAAGCAATGGGAATGGAGACAACAATTACAAGAGAAGCAGTGAAGGAAGAGCAGCAGTTTGACAAGCTTGATCATCATCCTCTCCTCTGCAAACACTTACACAAGAAACAGATACATAACTTGCAGCTTTCCTTGAGAATTTATTATTTCATGAGATATAAGGAAATAGCTTCCAAGTTGAGATTATTTTTCTACTTTACAGATTCATCACATCTCTTTTACTTCCTTAGGTCTTTTGTCTTGTTTTTAACTCATAATTCTTCTGGTTTTTTTCTTCTTTACTCCAGACAATTTCTTACTCTCTTTTGCTTTTCTATATTCCAAATTTTTTTATTTGAATATTCCACCTTTCTTATTATATCTACTATAATGAAATCTATACTAAAACTTCTTTAAGAATAAAAATTTAATTAGATTTTCAGTTATAGGTATAAATAAATTAATCACAAAAAAAAAATTTAATCAAGTTTCCCCTTTTCGAATCCGTGAAGTTATAATATTCCCATGATTTATATGAGCTATCTCTAGTCTAATGTGAAATCATTCAAGTATTGTAATTTGTACCTTTTTCAAAGAAACAAAGCATGATATACATATGTAGTAGCTTACAAAAGTAAGCAAATAAATAAGGGAGAATTTGCCAAAAATACAACAAAAAAAATATAATTTAAAAAGTAATCCAAAACTCCAAATCCAATGGTTTACAATTTGCTACATACCCTATTTTTCTTAACTTTTTAATTATTCATCAAAAAAAACCCAATAAATAAATGATAAAAAAAGAAACCCCCGTATTTGTTGTTACTACTAATGGGCCTAATGGGTCATTAACAAATATGTTAATGGGCCTTTATAATAAGAGGGACCAAGTACAATTCGGGTCGGATCTCCTTATTAAAAGGTGAAGGATTGCTCGTTTTTCATTATAGGGAAATAAAGCTTTCTTCTTCCCGAGTGGAAGAACTGGGAATCACTTGAACTCTCCTCCTCGATCGTCAAGGTAAATCTCTCGTTCATGGAGTTTTGGGATTTCGTAGCTTTGTAAACCCTAGATTCCAATTTTCGCTACATTGCCGATAAGCATCGCGTGATCAATCGATCGATTTTACAGCGTTTTGGTGAACAATCTCCTGTATATGGCGGGTTTGCAATTGGAGAAGCGAGTCAAATACAAGAGCTCTGTCAAGGATCCAGGAACTCCTGGAATCCTAAGATTAGTAAGAACATATACATGTTTTCTCTTTTGGGCTTATTCTGCTTGTGAATAGTTGCAGAGGCAAATTCTGCTTTCTAATTGTTTCTTTCTTCATATGTTTCCTTTCAAATAATTTCGCCAGAGGGAAGTGATGCTGCTCTTCGTCCCGGAGGATCCGAAATCAGATTCAAAGCTTAAAGTGCAGACTCAAAACATCAAAAGTATGTTAATTCCTATACTGCTCTTTTTTATAAGAGACGACGCTGTGTGTTTGCCTATAGCTTTCCTTATGATGATCTCTGCACATTGAGAATGCAATTTCATTGTTTAGCATTTCTTCAATTTCTTTCTCAGGTCAAAAGTCTACCAAAGAAGGATCAAATAAACCTCCTTGGCTCAATCTGACCAACAAACAGGTTTTGTTTGTTTTTTCCTTTGTGGGCAAAGCTAAAAGCTAAACAAAGATACATATATGTGTAGCTTATGCCCTGTATCATTGAAGTTTCCTCATTTTCGATTTGTAGGGAAGGAGTCATATCTTTGAGTTTGAAAATTATCAAGACATGCATGCTTGCCGTGAGTTCATCGGTAAGCTCCATGTGCCATGGTTTGCTTTTACCGAGTTTAAAGGAGTTTCTTTTGTGGTGTTACTGCAACCATTTATACCATTGTACAGCTAAGGCCCTTGCTAAATGTGAAGAGGAGCCTAAGAAACTAGCTGTCTCGACATCTGCTGAGCAACTCAGTATTGCAGACTTGGAGCTACGCTTCAAGCTTCTTCGAGAAAATAGGTATGTAATCAGAACTATAAGTTGCTTTTTTGGATTTCTGTTTTCATAGGTTCATTGATTTTCTTTTAACATGAGTAATTTACATGATATGTAGTGAGTTGCAGAGATTGCATAAGCAATTTGTGGAAAGTAAAGTCCTGACGGAAGATGAATTCTGGGCTACAAGGAAGGTTGGTTCTTTGTAGTTTTCTTCGTTTTCCAGGTTTCTGTTCTTTTGAGTGTCATTGTAGTTACAGACTTTATTCTGATCGCAGAAATTACTTGGTAAAGATTCCATCAGAAAGTCGAAGCAACAGGTCGGGCTCAAGAGCATGATGGTTTCTGGCATCAAACCATCTACTGATGGGCGGGTATGGTATAATTCTCTCTGCCCTGCTTGGAAGTCATCCTCTCCAGTTAATATGCTCATGTGCATGCCTTTGTAGGAAAGAAATAATGCACCTGTATAAGCATACTCAGTTGTGCTTGGCGGAAGTACAGCCAATTGTTTTCGTATATCGTGTGACATTTCGTCTGGTTTACTAACCACTTGCTTCACTCTTTTTCTTTCAGACTAATAGGGTGACGTTTAACTTAACCCCTGAAATCATTTTTCAGGTGAGCTCTTTGGTTCACTGTGTTTTTCATTGATGTGCGTGCTATAAGTTTCTAAACCCAAATCCCAATCAAAGGTGGGTCGGGATAAGTTTATATGGTGAATGATGTTGAAGTTGCAATTGGTGATACATTAAAGAAAAATAACTTAGGACAGAAATTCATAAAAGGTGTTCATGTACTTCCAATTGGAAAGTACAAGTGAGAAATAGAAACATTTATGACAGTCTTTCAGTTTATATTCTGTTGTGCTCGTTTAATCTGTAAATATGTAGCAAGTTGCATTGTTGTTTCATTCATGCTAATGTCCTTTCCTCACATATGATTTTTTCATTACGCTTTCAGATTTTTGCTGAGAAGCCGGCTGTTCGACAGGCATTCATAAATTATGTTCCGAGTAAGGTAACAAAGACGTCAACACTATGACAATAGGTTTAATCATCAAATATGACGAATTTTAATTGACTTTGGTAGTTATTTTCCTACCCCAGATGACAGAAAAAGACTTCTGGACAAAATATTTTAGAGCAGAATATCTTTACAGCACCAAAAATACAGCAGTAGCTGCAGCAGAAGCTGCTGAGGACGAGGAACTCGCTGTCTTTCTGAAGCCTGATGAGATATTGGCTCGGGAAACTCGTCAAAAGGTTAGTTCTCTTCTACAGTTAATCATTTCCATGTCTTCTAATTCAGAAGATAACATTTGTGGCATATCCATCTGATTTGAATGTCATATCTGTAGATAAGACGGGTCGATCCAACTCTTGACATGGAGGCCGACCAGGGAGATGACTACACTCATCTTATGGTAAGCCAGCTACCATTGCATGCGCTATGTGAATGGTTTGGATAATTCTAGCTCATTGCGCATCAAGGGTTTTTGAAAAAAAAATTCAATGCTCAATTGACTGTGGAAAGAGCCACACAGATAGAATACGCCTCTCATTGGTTTTTTAAGTGTTGGTGTTTACATATTGTCTCTCCCTAGTAGAAGAAGTATCGGAAGAACTGGGCTCTATAGAAAATACTAATGGTGTTAAGAATCAAACTTGTAACAATATGTGTCAAATGTTTTGTTTCTTAGAATGCACAGCAAACCTCTCTAAGTTAGTAAGTTGTTAAATTAAGAAATTTAGTTTTTTTCAAATGTAAATGCTGGACTATGCAACTACATTTCAATTATGTGATCTATATTTTTTTGCTTTGGAAATTGAATTACTGTTTTTTCTTATTCATTAGGACCACCGTTTTTATATTAGTGTGTGTGAGAGGAAGCTCAGAACTGATATTTAGAAAACATTATTCTAAAATTGATATTATGCTCTTTGTATGCGGTCGAGAGGTTATTTACGGTATATACTGTATCATATCACCGTATGTTGTGCTTAATGTAGATTTTCCGTAACACAGGACCATGGGATCCAGCGTGATGGCACCTCGGATATTGTTGAACCACATAATGATCAGTTTAAAAGATCACTGGTGCAAGATCTTAACCGTCATGCTGCTGTTGTATTGGAAGGCAGAAGCATTGGTAAACACATCTAAGAACCTCCTTCGATTTTGTTCATCTTTTGTTTTGTATAGAGATAGATAGTTCACGAATAGTACATGTATGTTGGCCTTCTGACTTAAGTAATATAATGATGCTCACTTATTCCTTTATATTGGAAAGCAGATGTTGAGTCAGAAGATACTAGGACTGTTGCAGAGGCTCTCATGCGGGTTAAACAAGGTTTGCTGTTTCATTCTACTATGTTCTAATTTTGATTTTCTCTGTGCTGATCGATGGCCAATGCCGCACTTAATATTAGTCTGACCTCACTATTCATCTCTATTACCCCTGGTAGTAAGCAAAGCTGATAGTGAAGCTAATCAGGAGAGATTGGAAAGGATATCCCGAGTAGCAGGAATGGAGGATCTTCAAGCACCACAGAACTTTCCGTTAGCACTGCTTTCTATCAAGGTTTGGCTTTCTGTCAATAGAATGTTTTCACTGTTGATGATAGATGCTGCGTAAATCCTCTTATCATTCCTTTTCTGGAATCAGGACCCTCGTGATTACTTTGAATCTCAACAAGGAAACATCCTTAATGAACCGAGAGGAGGAGGGGGATTAAAGAGAAATATCCATGAAGCTTATGAATTGCTAAAAGCATCCATATTGGAGATTAAAACTGAAGGATTATGTGATCCGTTGATTAAACCTGAAGTTGCCTTGGAGGTGCTATTCTATCCCTTAGTGAAATGTGTGCTGACTAAAAGAAAACATGGCTTATCGCTTTCGTTTCCTAAGCTAGAAATTGCTAACCCCATTCAGGTTTTCAGTTCATTAACCCGAACTATCTCAACTGCTAAAAATATTATTGGGAAGAACCCGCGAGAGAGCTTTCTGGACAGATTACCAAAGCCCACTAAAGATCAAGTTTTACATGTAAGTTCTTGATTTTCCAATGTCCTAAGTAGCAGGAAGCTCTATATGTACCTGATTAGTGGAGATTGATTATAATAATGCCTTTGTCCCCCCAATTGCTTTCATCTGCAGCACTGGACATCAATACAAGAATTACTGAGACATTTTTGGTCATCTTACCCGATAACAACCACATATCTTCATACCAAGGTAATCTTTTATCTAATTCACAATCTCCCAATCCCAGAATTTGCTATGTACATAGATTCCTGGCTTTATCAGGAAAGGTTCAAACTTATCTTACACCAAGAGCAAGTTCTTAATACGAGAATGTTATATTTTATTATGCAGGTTGGTAAGCTGAAGGATGCAATGTCCAATACTTATTCACAACTCGAGGTACGCTATGAAATTCTTTAAACCTTTCTGATATAATAAGCAACTAGGAGTAGTCCGTTAGAACGGTTGTTCCTAATTTCTTCATATCAATCCAACACAAACATGAAATTTACAATTTAGGTAGATAAATTCGGCTTCAGTGTTTGAAGCTTATTGCATATGGTCGGTCTAGTGTGAACTTTTCGTGTATTGTTTCCTTGAGATATTAAAACGCATTTGACTCAGGCAATGAAAGAGTCGGTGCAATCTGATCTCCGGCATCAGGTTTCTTTACTGGTTCGTCCAATGCAACAGGTTAGCTTCTTCCATTACCTACTTAAAGAGTTTTACTACATCATGTCTCGATTAAGTCTATAATCTCCAAATCACATTGTATATACCTGGTTTAACCAGCCAAACTTGCATCGTAATCCGGTTTATGAATTGATCTTGACCTGTTTTCTCTGCCAGGCTCTTGATGCTGCGTTCCAACACTATGAAGCCGATTTGCAGAGAAGAACCACTAAGAGCGTTGGAGGCGGTGGTGGCGAAAGACCAAACGGGTATGTTTAGCAGACGAACAAAATCACTGCCAGATCTTTGTTTAGTTTCATCAACAACCTTAATTGGTGCTTTTGAGATTTTCCATTCGTTGTTTTTTTTGTCCGACCGTTAAAATACAAAAAGGCGTTCTATATATTGTTTGTTTTTTTTTTGTTCAACGATGCGTTCAGATTGTATAATGCAGACTTTTGTACTTGGAAAGAACAAAGAGAATTTCTTCGACATCTTGACCCAAAAGAAAAACATTCTTTGACATATTTGTTCGGTTGCACATTTAATTTAGTGTTGATGGGTTTACGGTTAAGGATGGTTCTTGAGCTCTAAGCAAACCTTCCTATACCTCTCTAGTCTCTACGCTGTAATTGTTTAGTTAGGTTTTGAGCGTTTATGTTTGTACGGATTTTAGACGGTTAGAGTTTTTGTCGGAAGTATATCAGAAATTTCTGATGGATTGTTCGTATTGGAATTTTTTTTTTTTTTTACGATTTTCCATTAGAAATTGGCATTTTTCGTTAAAATTTTGTGTGTATTGTACGTGCAGTTACAAATTAAATTTGGATGTGATGTTTGATTGATGATTTGGTGTATAACAAGTCATGTGATAACCAATTTAAGCCTCATGACCATTGATGTGCTCTTAACCGATTTGGATAATATAATATGTGTGTATGATGATTGCTATGTTGGTAAAACTTTGTGCATGGTCTAAGTTGGTCCTCCAGGGCTTATAATCGTGATGAGAGGTGAATTGACATTTTTTGGTCCTGGCTTAGCAAATTGTGTGTTGTTTGTTATTTTGGGATATGGAGAGATTATGCTATGAATGATAGGAGAGACCAAATTCATTAAGCAAGTAGTGCTTACGACTTTTTTTGCTTTGCAAATTAGTGGAAAACCATACGAGCGTGATCCATATGGTTGGGTTATAACTTATAAGCTCTCTCAGCCATTGCGCATCTCAACACCTCTACCTCTATGTGTGGTGACCGGTGAATTTTCCTATATTCTTTTAGAAATCCAACATGAGTTTCAGCCATATGTTGTTCAATGATTTTGTATGAAATTGTTTCCTTAAAAACATACATGGAATATAGTTATATAAGCTTCAGTTATAATTTTCTCAAATTTGCTTATGTGTCATCACTAAAATCATTCTCACTAATTTTATTATGACATGGCATTCTTTTAAATGTGATATGACAAAACTATCAAATATTTGTCTCACTAATTTAGCCTACTCAAAATGAATTAAATTAGCCCACTCAATAATGTTTGTCATCAATCGGCCATATTTTTTAAGAGAATAATTAACTCAATAATCACAATTATACCTAGTCTCCTCCACTATAAACGGGACATGATAATAACACCCAACAATAATTTTAGAGAATCGGCCACATTTATATCAAATTGATTTTCTTAAAAATAGTTGTGGAAGATGAGGATGATATTAATGATCAAACTAATCTTACGTATATACAGAGATTTTCATCAAAACTAAAAAGCAATTCTTTTTTCATTTGATCAAACGCCCTTCTTTTTATTTTTTGTAGTTTTATAATTATGTATCGCTTGTGTGTTGTAAGCTTCGTAATGTTCTTTTAGTCATTGTTACTTTTAAAAAAATAATGTTGTAAGTTCACCAATTTTATTATGACAAGGCATTCTCTTAAATGTGATCGACATGGCAAAACTATCAAATATTTGTCTCACTAATTTAGCCCACTCAAAACTAGTTAAATT